CTCCAAGATCCTTTTCTGCCTCTGCACTGACAAGAAGAGAGTTCCCCAGCCTGTAGGTACGGTGCTGGTTCTTCCTCCCCAGGTGTAGCACCTTGCACTTGTCAGTGTTGAATCCCATCCTGTTCTCGTCCGCCCACCCCTTTAACCTGTCTAGGTCCGATTGTAGCCTATTCCTCCCTTCTAGAGTGCCCACATCCCCCCACATCTTAGCGTCATCAGCAAATTTGAACAAGATGCTTTTTACCCCCTCATCCAAGTCGCTGATGAAGATGTTGAACAGTGCGGGCCCAAGGACTGAGCCCTGGGGGACCCCACTGCCCATATCCCTCCAGGTCAAAAATGACCCATCCACCACCACTCTCTGGGTGCGGCCCTCCAGCCAGTTGGCGACCCAATTGACTGTGTCGATGCATTCACAGAACTGGCCCATTGATCGTTCACATGGTCTTCCTTTATATGGCCATTGCCATCAGCTACTCCTGGACCTCCTGCTATTGTTCTTCAAGGCTTGGTGTAGACCTTCCCCTAGCCATCACTGGCCTTTCTAGTTTTTTGGATGTCCCATCACTGAGGCTCACCTTTGTACTTTTCTGCTCTAGAAGCACTCTTCACTTTTGGGGATAAAAGGACACCCCACTCCTGACATCACAGGTGAAGTCATCTCACCCAAACACCATATCTGGCCTCACTTTCCCTCCTTGCCTGGTGAATCAGACATGAGACAGCTAAATTTCTACAATGAAGCACCTGTGTCGTTGGCTGCTTTATGAAAAAAAAAAACAATAAACATACCTTTTACATGCTTCAATCATGCACCTCCCTTCCCCCCCCACCCCCCCATAAGTTTCAAGCTTCTGGGATAGCACTGAAATCAAAATATGACATGACCCAAGGTACTTAATTTGACCTTGAAGCCAATACCTGCAGATGGGGTCATCTACTAGTTAACAAATGGAGGTAATCACCCCACCAAAGGAAATGGCAACACAGAGTTGTACTGGTTGCAAGGACCTCAAACACTGCTACGTTAGGAAAGTAAATATACTCCCTGCCCTGATACAGTGGCTGGTAGAGAAAGGAATTATATGGACCTAACTATGAAGGAAAGGATCATCTACAACAGGGCACCAACCCCAGAAAAAAATTGAAGCCATTTGGGATGTTTTCCTAAAACTGGTTGATCAAGTTTTAGGAAAATGACTCTAAAATGAGACTTGACTGAAAAGTAGAAGATGTGAATACCCTGCCCCATCCCTCTCTGCTTTTTCTCTATACCTCCCTTTCCTTCTGGAATTTAATTTGCTTTTTGGTTGTAATATTCAAGCCATAAAAGTCCATGTGGTGGAAACACTGTAGGTAATATATGGGAACATCAGCATGGTATAAATATCTTGGCCTTTTCTCATTTCTGATGTATGACTTTTTTGCGTGTTTGTTTTATGTTTTGGCACCTAGAATTGGTTGGATTTGTTACAAGGAGAAAAAATACAATTTAGAAGGTTTAATAAATAATATAAAAAAGAAACACACAGTTTGTTTGGCTCATCAGAGTACTATCTGTTCATGCTTTAGTCTACCAAGTCCTCCAAGTCAATTCCCTCTAAGTTTTCCCTTTCTTAGACCTTTCCTCTAACTCCCCAATCTCCCCTGTTCCAAATCCAGTCTTTCCACCCTTTCTTAGCCCTCCTTCTGTCACTACGACCTGGGATTTTGGCAGCTCTTGGCTTTGTGTGCTTTATCAACCAGCTCTTTCAGTATACTTGGTCAAAGTAAATCAAAGCCAGTCAGCAAATGATGTTTCAGTCTTAACTGTATGAGTTTCAAAGAGCTGTACGATGGTGTGATCATACCCTACTGCAAGTTTCTGCCTTTTTCTCATTCTGCACTGTGAGCTTCATTTGTCAAGAAAAATAAGGACAATTTCATCCAT